GCAGCAAACCCAGTGAAGGAAGCTCAGAACGGAGTAGCTGACAAAGGGACCCCTGACTGGCTGGCACTGGAATGGAATCACTCGGTGCCACAGTGGTACGGTCGCCTACTTCTATCTAAAAAGTTTGCGTAATTTTCAGGTATTATCTGATCCTGCTCTGTCCTAATAAGAGGAAGATTAGCCTGAGCTTTGAGCGCCTCCCTTTCCAATGACCCATCAGTGCAACACAGGAAAAAATGCGCTAAAAGTCAACTCACGCCTCCCCCCTTGGTGCTAGGAAAGCTACCTCAAGCCTCATACCGTCTCTGGAGGGAAAGAAAGGGGGATTTCGCCCCTTCCCATTCAAGAAAAAGAACTACTGTATGGGGTTTGGGGGGGGGCTACCGAGAGGAATGGGAACACGTCACGGGAACACGTACCCCGATAGCCACGTTCAGTTCAGCCATAGTCACCTGCTTGGCTCGCTCCACTGCCTGGACCACTTGCTGTTGATGCTGAGCAGAGAGACAGAGAAGCAGACAGATCCATACCGTCTCTCATCATCATCATCATCATCATCATCATCATAGAATCCTACCATGTTCCCCCGAAAATAAGACAGGGTCTTATATTAATTTTTGCTCCCAAAATGCATTAGGGCTTATTTTCAGGGGATGATTTATTTTACAGTCCTGTCCTCTTCTTCTGGTTGCTGCACAAGGGTGGAGGGCGGGGTTTCCACTTAACATGGGGCTTATTTTGGGGGTAGGGCTTCTATGACGAGCATCCCAGAAAATCATACTCGGACTTATTTTCAGGTTAGGTCTTATTTTCAGGGAAACAGGGTAGAATGATGGAGTCAGAAGGGGCCTCTAAGGCCATCCAGTCCAACCCCCTGCTCAAGGCAGGAATCCAAATCAAGGCAGATCAGACAGAGGGCGATTGTCCAGTTTCCTCTTGAAGGCCTCCAGCGTTGGAGTGCTTCACCACCTCCTCCCAGAGTCATTGTTGTACTGCTCTAACACTTAAGAAGTTTTTCCTGATAGTCAGCCGACATCTGCCTTCCTGTCGCTTGAGACCATGGTTGCACCTTGGGAGGATCAAGGACAGATCCTGCCCCTCTTCTGTAGGACAGCCAAGTCTTTGAAAAGAGTTATCCTATCTCTCCCCCCTCCCCGCCCCAATTCTCTCAAGCCTCAACGTGCCAAGTTCTTTCTGCCTTTCCTCCTTCCAAAGGGCTCCCGTTTCTAGGCCGCTGATCCTCCTCTTCCTTGCCCTCCTCTGAACCTGCTCCAGTTTGTCGGCATCCTTCTTGAAGTGCGGCGTCCAGAACTGGAACACAGGACTCAAGACCAAAGGTCTCCCGTTTCCAGCCCCCTGATCCTCCTCCTCCTTGCCCTCCTCTGAACTTGCTCCAGTTTGTCGGCATCCTTCTTGAAGTGCGGCGTCCAGAACTGGAACACAGGACTCAAGAGGAGGCTTAACCTGTGCCGACCAGAGGGGAAGTCCTGTCCCACGGTGCGGTGTCCAGAACTAGAACACAGGACTCAAGAGGAGGCCTAAACTGTGCCGACCAGAGGGAAAGTCCTGTCCCACGAGATTTGGAAACAATACTTCTGTGAATCATCACTGGCCTTTTCTTGCACCCTCGATCTGAAGACGCCCAGAAGACAGGGAGAGCAAAGACCGGGAAGTCGAGCGGTGTCCAGAACTAGAACACAGGACTCAAGAGGAGGCCTAAACTGTGCCGACCAGAGGGAAAGTCCTGTCCCACGAGATTTGGAAACAATACTTCTGTGAATCATCACTGGCCTTTTCTTGCACCCTCGATCTGAAGACGCCCAGAAGACAGGGAGAGCAAAGACCGGGAAGTCGAGGGGGTTGCGGATTTGGAAACAATACTTCTGTGAATCATCACTGGCCTTTTCTTGCACCCTCGATCTGAAGACGCCCAGAAGACAGGGAGGGCAAAGACCGGGGGTTGCCCTTCGCCCACCTCTGTGTTAAGAGCGACAAACCGTTGGTGCTTCCCGGCTTGAAAAAGAGAGGGAACGCCGTGCTTCTTATGGCCTGAAAACTAGGCTTCGGAAGCTTTAAAATCTGGTGGGTGATCAGGCTGGACGTCTCGGGCCAGAGAACAGAATGGCGTCTCTGTCGCTGTCTGGCTGGCCCCCAGACATGAATTCCATTTCGGCTGATACGAAAAACAGGAACCTTCCGCCTCGTCTTGATTTTCCAAAATGTGGGAAGGGATATAAAAATGGGACAAGCCACGGATGAGGGCCAGATGGGAGACACTCACCTCTTGAGAAAGGAAGGGGATTAGCTGCGCACAGATGACATTGAGCCGCTTCGCAATCTCTGTCTGCGACGAAAAAAGAGACAAAAACACACACAGGAAAACGCTGAATTCACAGCAGGACCACGGTATTCACACAGTTGAGCCGCTTCGCAATCTCTGTCTGCGACGAAAAAAGAGACAAAAACACACATAGGAAAACGCTTAATTCACAGCAGGACATCTGTTCCAAACCCTCTGTGGATACTGAAAACTGCGGATAATAGCCAACCCTATACATTGCACAGTCTCTGGCTCCATCTAGCAGCCAGTTCTGGTCATTAAATCATGGAAATCTGTATCTAATAGCCAACCCTATACATAGCACAGTCTCTGGCTCCATCTAGTGGCCAGTTCTGGTCATTACATCATGGAAATCTGTATTTGAGGTTTTTCTTCCATTTAATATTTTTAATATTTTCAGGCCATAGATAAGTGCAAGCAAGTTCAAGTTCACTGTATTAGCGAAAAGCCGTCACAATTGTTTAAATTACAAATACAGTGGTGCCTCACTTAGCGAGGTTAATCCATTCCGGAAAAACCCTCGCTAAGTGATTTCATCGCTATCCGGAAATGAAAATGCCATAGGAACGTATTGAAATGGGTTTAATACGTTCCTATGGGCTTAAAACTTATCTTTAAGCGAAAAATCTCCATTGCAGCGGCCATTTTGGGTGCCTCGTAAGCGAGGCAAAACAGCGGTCACCATTTTGTTTTTGTGGAGGCCATTTTGGAACCAACGATCAGCTGGGAAAAATGGGGGCTTTGCTGCGATCGCGTCCCCGCGATCGTCGCAAAGTGATTTTTCCCCATAGGGGACATCGCTAGGTGATCGCTCCCAGTGATGGCCCCAAACCCCTCGCTATGCAGATTCGTCGTTAAACGGTGTGCTCGCTATGAGGGGCACCACTGTATGACCAAATAAAATCATGATAAAATCATGTCTGTGATAAGTGAATATTGATATCATATGGATATCGATGCCAAGGATACAGGGGTCGTATTGCACAATCAAACCTTTGAGTATGATGAGGAGGACTAGATTCTTGCTTGATATCTAGCAGCAAAGCAGCAGTCTTATCTTCTTATGGGTCTATTCCCAGCATTTACAGTGTCCTGCCTTTCCTAGTGAGGGGAGGGGACAGAATCTTTTTCTGCCAGAAAAGGAGGAGATATTTTATCCGGCTCGAAAGCGTGCAAGAAGAAACAACAGGGACTAATGGTTGGATTCAGCCCAAGAGAGCTTTTCATGTTTATCCTTTTCCACCAGCTCTCCTTTGTGACACCGAGCTCCTCGCCTCGCCTTGGTCATGTCCCTTCGCCGAAAGAAATGGACACAAGATCACAGAACCGCAGCCCTGTGAAAACCTGACATTTTTGCTGCATTTTTGCAGCCATCCCCGCATCACACATGGGTAGCGAACCAGGCAGCGTTCGTGCCTCGCTGGGGTTGGGCCGCATGACCTTAAGAGATCCCTTCCAACTCTCTCCTTCCATGCATTTTTCCACCCCGGGGAAAACCCATGGAGCCACACGAGCGTGCGGGAACAGATGAGGGCCTTCCGGTTCGGCCAACCTTTTTTGGCCACCTTGGGGAAATCAAATCGCCAACCGGAGGTGCAGGATCACCCCGAAGGAAGGAGAGGAGGAAAATCTAGAGGCACAAGAGAAAGACGAAGGATGAAAAGGGGGGGGGAGGAAGCAATTGCCGGCAGGTACTTTCAGGGAAAGATTTAATTCTCTCCTGGGCCCTGCGGTAATGGATTCGTTTTCCTAATGCACTGATGGGCAGGTTGCTAAGAGGGGGGCAACCCGGCCTCCCATTCACTTGGACTCATTAATGTTCAATTTAGTGGCACTTTAACGCTCGCAGTATGAAAAATGATCAGCCCGCAGCGCAAGGCGCTCCCTGCCACCCCCAACCGCTCTGTTTTCTGGCTTCCCTCCCTATCTCTCCCCCCCACACACACACACACCGCCTTTCCTTTCATACAGGGAAAGAAAGAAGGGAGGGGGAAAAAAAATAAGAAACGAGCTACCAGCTTGGGTTTACTGTTCAAACCCACCCAAAAATAAGGCCTTATACTTGGGCCCGGGCCCATTGTTGTGGGCTCGAGGTGCGAGCTTTCCACCCCCACACACACCCAAAACCCCACAAGGAAGCCTTTGGGTTTCTGACACAATCCCCATCGGGGTCGAGAAGGCTCAGCCACTCCGCCCCCCCCCAGCAGTTCAAACCTGGTTGGCACCAGAAAGCCACAACTGAAGACGACGGAGGTTTTTAAAATGCCCTCCAGCACTGGACTGAGATTCGGCCTCTTGTCGACACACTTTGTGATACTTAAGGAGGCCATCTATACCCCCCCCAATTTGCAGCAAAATATAAATAATAATTTTAGAACGGCAGCATGAAAAAGGCCTAAGGGTCAATGAGTCAAGGAAGTATCATGGGGGGCGGCTCCGTAGCCAGAGACCTCAACCCCTCAGCTCTCCATCATCAGCAGCAGAGCTGGAAGGGACCCCTAAAGATAATCCAGTCCATCCCCTCTCAAGGAGGCCCAGGAGGGATTCAAACCCACGACCTCTGTAGATTATCACAAACACACACATGAAAAAGGCCTAAGGGTCAATGAGTCAAGGAAGTATCATGGGGGGCGGCTCCGTAGCCAGAGACCTCAACCCCTCAGCTCTCCATCATCAGCAGCAGAGCTGGAAGGGACCCCTAAAGATAATCCAGTCCATCCCCTCTCAAGGAGGCCCAGGAGGGATTCAAACCCACGACCTCTGTAGATTATCACAAACACACACACCAGTATTATTTATTTATTTATTTATTTAACTTATATGCCGCCCACACTACCCGAAGGTCTCTGGGCGGCTTACAGCATTTAAAATACAATAAAAAGGCAAAATAAAAGGGCAAAATAATTAAAATGCAATTAAAAATATATTCTCTAAAAATTGCCATGAGACCCACAGCTGGTATTATTTCAATTAAAAGCCTTTTGGAACAGGAAGGTTTTGACCTGGCGCCGAAATGTCATCAGCATTAGCGGCAGACGAATCTCAGTCGGGAGGGCATTCCATAGTCTGGGGGCAGCTGCCGAAAAGGCCCTTTGTCACAGCTCTTTCAAAAGGGCCCCCTGGCTAGATCTTAACTGCCGGGTAGGTTCATATGGAAGGA